AAGAATTTCACTATGAGAAAATAGGAATTACAACCTCTCTCGATCTACCAATGAGAAAACAATGATAATTCTCTCTAAATAAAAAGGAGAAAACAACTCTCAAGAAACTCTCTAAAATCTCTCTAGTATTGGAAGAAAGCTAGAATGCTTTGGGATGATTTTGAAGCTAAATGAGCTAGGGTATTTATAGTTGAAAACTAAGGACTAATTTGTAAATACCCTAAAGTTTAATGACTAAATTATGATTTAGCCATTGTCCAAAAAATCAATAAAACAGCTCATTTTTTTCAGTGCATTTAATATGCACCTTTCGGTGCTTAGTCAACAATCTCCCACTTGAAGATTTGATTGGAACAATCATATCTTCACACCATTCTTTCTACCTTGTACCATCATGTTGCTTACGTCTCTGACAGGCCACAAGAGGATCGACACCAAGTAAATTTATCGGTATTGATCGCTTTCGTCATGAAATCTGCTATGTTGTCTTTGGTATGAATCTTCTGCATATCTACCGTCCCTTCTTCCACCTTTTCACGAATGAAATGGTATTGAACTCGTATGTGCTTTGTCCTTGAATGAAATGCTAGATTCCTTACTAGATGCAAGGTGCTTTGACTGTCACAAAACAGAGAAACATACTCTTGATTGTGCCCAAGCTCCTCCAATAGCATCTTCAACCAAATTGCTTCTTTACTGGCTTGTGTAGCTGCTACATATTCTGCCTCTGTTGTGGACGTAGCCACGACTGACTGCAATTTTGAAACCCAACTTACAGCTCCACCAACAATTTTAAACACATATCCTGTAGTAGATTTGCTTTTATCCAAATCCCCTGCATAGTCAGAATCTACATAACCATTGATTAGTAAGTTTGATCCTCCGTAACATAATGCAACATTTGAGGTCCCTTTGATGTATCTCAGGATCCTCTTCACTGTATTCCAATGCTCTTTGCCTGGATTCGCCATGTACCGACTAACCACTCCCACTGCTTGTGCAATGTCTGGTCTTGTGCATATCATAGCGAACATTAAACTTCCCATTGCTGATGCATACGGTACTCGAGACATCTCCATCCTCTCTTCTTCACTACTAGGACTCATACTGGAGGATAATTTGAAGTTAATAGGAAGAAGGGTAGAAATTGGCTTACAATCTTGCATGTTGAATCGTGACAAGATCTTCTTCAAGTAATTCTTTTGTGAAAGCCAAATCTTCCTATTACTTCTGTCTCAGTGAATTTGCATCCCTAGAATCTTGTTTGCTGATCCCAAGTCCTTCATTTCAAATTCCCTAGCCAGTTGTGCCTTCAATTCTTCAATATGATCTTTGTTGGGTCCTGCAACCAACATGTCATCCACATACAACAAACAATATAACAAAATCGTTATCACCAGACCTCTTAAAATAAGCACAAGGGTTTGCATTAAGTCTGTTGTATCCAAGGCACATAATGAAGGAATCAAATCTCTTATACCAACACCTCGGCGCCTGCTTTAGACCGTACAGAGATTTGTTCAACCTGCAAACCAAGTTCTTCTTTTCTTTTTCTTCAAATCCTTCAGGCTGGAGCATGTAAATCTCTTCTTCAAGATTTCCATGAAGAAAAGCTTTTTTAACATCTAGTTGCTTTAGATGTAAGTTCAATGTAGCACACATTGCCAAAATTACTCGAACTGTTGTTAGTCGAACCACAGGAGAAAATATTTCATTGAAATCAATACCTTCTTTTTGAGCATATCCTTTGACCACCAATCTTGCACGATACCTCTCAACTTGATCGTCACCATTTCGCTTGATTTTGAAGACCCATTTGTTACCAATTGGCTTCTTTCCTTGTGGTAGTGGCACAAGGTCCCATGTATTATTTTTATGAAGGGCTTCGATTTCCTCTTACATCGCCATCATCCATAGTGAAGCATCTGAGTTGTTTATTGCCTCTTGGTATGTTGATGGCTCACCGTCCTCTGTTAAAAGACAGTATGCAATATTACCTTCTATAACATAATCTGAGTGCCAATTGGGATGTCTTCTCACACGATCTGATTGGCGAGTTGTTGGAGTTTCAGAACTCTCTGGTTCTTGTTCATCATATGCTGGTTCTGCTTCAGAAGAATCTCCTTGTTCAACCTCCTTTTCCACATGTATATGTGTAGTCTCTGACTTTTCAGCGCTATCATCGTCTTCTTTTATTTGTAGCTTATCTTCTACAAAGATAACATCCCTGCTAATGGTCACTTTGCGGGCAGTGGGATCCTACAAGCGATACCCCTTGACTGCATCAGTATACCCCAAGAATTTGCATTTCCTGGATTTTGGATCCAGCTTTGAGATTTCTTGGGAGTTGTACATCACGTACACAATACTTCCAAATACATGGAGGTTTGAATAATCAGTTGGTTTACCAGTCCACATCTCCATTGGTGTCTTCAGCTCTATTGCAGTTGATGGAGCTCGATTCACCAAATAACAGGCGGTATTGACTGCTTCTGCCCATAATGATTTTTCTAGGCCTGCATCCCTCAACATTGCTCGTGTTCTTTCTAACAAGGTTCTGTTCATCCGCTCTGCCACTCCATTTTGTTGAGGAGTGTTCGCCACTGTGAACTGTCTTTTGATGCATTCTCTCTTGCAAAAGTCATCAAATTCTTCGCTTGTGTATTCTCCTCCATTATCTGTTCTGAAACACTTGATCTTATTTCCAGAATCAAGTTCCACTCGCGCTTTGAAGTTTTTGAAAGTTGCAAACACATCTGACTTCTTCTTAATAGGGTACACCCAACATCTCCTGGAGTAGTCATCAATAAATGAGACAAAGTATTTTGCTCCGCCTAGGGATGTGACCGGTGCTTGCCATACGTCAGAGTGAACCAATTATAGAACACTTTTGCCTCTAGAATTTAATGTGTTGAATTTCAACCGGTGTTGCTTACTTGTTATACAATGCTCACACAAAGGAAGTGATACCTTTGTTAAGCTGGGAAGTAGCTTTTGCTCCACAAGGACTTTCATTCCTTGTTCTGACATGTGTCCAAGTTTCTTATGCCATAGCATTGCAGAATCTGAACTACATGAGGCAACAGAGGCTTCTGCTTCTAGCAAAGTCTCTCCCTTCAGCATGTACAAGTTTGCAGCTATCTTTTCGCCTTTCAGCACCACAAGCACTCCACGGAACACCTTCATGATTCCTTTTTGTGTTTCAATCTTGCTTGCATTATTATCCAACAATCCGTAGGATAATAAATTTTTCTTCAGGCCTTTCACGTGCCGCACATCTCGAACAACTTTAATTGTTCCATCATACATCTTCAATTTGATGGTTCCCACGCCAACGATATCTAAGGCATGATCATTGCAACTATAAACAGATCCTCCTGAGACAGGTTCATAATGATGGAACCATTCTCTTCTTGAGGTCATGTGATATGTTGCTCCTGAATCAATGAGCCATATATCTGCAAATCGTTTTCTTCCTTCTACGGTGGTTGATGCTTCACAGCATAGAGCATCTCCATCATCTGAAGTGTTTGCGGTATTGCCTTGTGGATTGAAGTTTTTATTTAGACTCCAACAATCCTTCTTCAAGTGACCCTTCTTTCCACAGTGGTAGCACTTTAAATTCTTTTTGCTTCTGGACTTCGATCTACCATGTTTGTGACTACTGCTTTGGCCACGTTCTGTTGATCTCCCTCTCGTCGTTGTCAACGCTTCTGCTTGTTGCAGATTTACTTGTCTGTCTTCCTTGTTCTTACGCCGATTTTCTTCTTGTAGAACAGCAGCTGCAACGTCATCGAAGACTAGACTGGTGACATTACTATTTGTCAAGTTGATGATGAGTTGATCATACGAATCCGATAGACTTTGAAGTAGAAGTTCAGCACGTTCTTGTTCTCCTATTTTACAGCTTAAGGATGTAAGCTGAGAAAATAAGGTATTCAGTGTATTTAAGTGCTCCGTCACTGAAGTAGATTCTGGCATACGGAGAGTGTACAATTTTCTCTTAAGGAAAATTTTATTGTGCAGCGATGTGGCCTCGTACAGTTTGGTGAGATGATCACATATCTCCTTAGCTGTCTTTTTCTCCTCGATGCTTGACAATACTTCATCTGCTAATACTAGATGAAAGTTTGCCATAGCATTTCCGTCCATTTCGATCCATTTGTTGTCATCTGCAAAATCCATCGGCCTTTCACTGATAGCCGCTAGACACCCGTCTTTCCTCAGGATGACCTTCATCTTTAATTTCCACAATGAGAAATTTCTCCCATTGAATTTTTCAATATCAAATTTCGTTGCCATAGCTTCTTTTACGGATAGCTCCCACTATTTCACTATCGTGAATAGTTCTCTGGAACCTTCAAAGAATGGGTAATAACTTCTTACTTTCTTATGTTGGAGGATCCACCTTTTGGTGGCAACCACAAAGACAATAAGCAGATATTACACACTCTAATCTAGCTCTGATACCAATTGTTACGGAAGACGGCTATCGGATAGAGCAAAATCGTAACTGATAATTTGAGAAAATAAAAATGAAGATAAAAGAGACACAAAATTTACGTGGAAAACCCCTAAAATATTTAGGATAAAAACCACGGGCAACGGTAGAAGAATTTCACTATGAGAAAATAGGAATTACAACCTCTCTCGATCTACTAAGGAGAAAACAATGATAATTCTCTCTAGATAAAAACGAAAAAACAACTCTCAAGAAACTCTCTAAAATCTCTCTAGTATTAGAAGAAAGCTAGAATGCTTTGGGATGATTTTGAAGCTAAATGAGCTAGGGTATTTATAGTTGAAAACTAAGGACTAATTTATAAATACCCTAAAATTTAATGACTAAATTATGATTTAACTATTGCCCAAAAAATCAACAAAACAACTCATTTTTTTTCCGATGCATTTAATATGCACCTTTCGGTGCTTAGTCAACACTATCCACGTCTTCCTTGACGGCTTGACCCTTTTCTCCCCCAATGTATTATATTAAGAAAAAAGATTGAAACTTTGGTGAAGTCGTGAATTTTTTTCATAAAAGGTTCTAATAGAAATGGAAAAGGAAGTGGGTGAGGCGGGTTCTTCTCTTGCGTACAAGCTTTTATTTTCATGCCCTTTTGGTCTGTCTCAGCCACAGGTTTTAACTTCCTCTGGCTCTGATTCATTCTCTTTTGCATTTACTTTAATGTTTCACTTATTGTGCTTTCCTTTGTTTGTCTTGGTGGATGAAGCTGTCCGTATTTTTCGGTGAATCCTACGATAGAATTCCTCATTCAGACACGAATTTGGAGAATTCCATTTCTGAGGTGAACTTAAAGCTTTGAAGTTTTTGAAAGTCAAGTTCTTCAATTTTGTCCTTTTACCTTTTATATGTTCTTTGGTTTGCTTAGATATGGGACCAGAGGGTTCAGAAAAATGGATCTTTATTCAATGGCAAGAAGTTTAGGGTATGATCTGATCTGATCTGATCTAATCTTGTTTATCTATGATCTCTGTGTTTTCTTTTCCCCCCTACACAAGTTTTTAGGGGCGCACTCTTTTGAGATGCAGGAAAAGAAAATTTGACCCATTTTTGTATTGACTATTGAAGTTCAAGAACCAAGATGGTCATGCTTGAACACATTCACGAAGTTATTTCGTTTTGATGTTCCTTAAAATTAGTTTTGATTATTCTTGGCATTGTTGATAATTTTTTCCAGTACGGAGGATATAGTCACAAGAGTGGAGATGCATCAAAGCAAGAGTCTTTTGTATGCCTCCACCTCGGATTGACAGATTACGGGTCTATCTTTAACTCTATTTCTTTATGCATGCATTTAAATTGTGATCCTGGTAGTGTTTTCATTTGTGTCTCGTTTATCGTGGTTGCGGATGTAATGTATGTTGCTGCGGTCAATTGCAATTAATATCACCAGTGAATATTGAAGACAGAACCAAAACTGCAAAATAATGATCTTTACGTCATATTGTGGCTGCTATGAAAATCTTTGCATGCATCATGAAGTCTTTTACTTTATCATATCTTATTGATGTTCTTCTGATATAATAACGATTCCTCACCTCTACTTGTTACCAGAACTTTTGTAGGGACAAACTTGAACCCTTGGTGGGAAAAATTCTTGGTTGCATCAGAAGGTATGTCAATACAAATTTACAGTATTCACTGCAGATGAGATTCTTTCTCCTTGTTAGCAGTTAAACAAATTTATGAATTCTATAGCTAGAAAACGCTTTTATTTGTCCCCCTTATGCCTAAAACAATATAATAATTTACCACATTCACATTGAGTTCATATAGACAGCACTTAGCTGAAGTTTGAACTTTGATCTTACAAACACAGTTGCAAACCTGTTTAATGTTTATACATGCGAGATTCTGCATCTCTTGACCGTTAGCTTTACTTTTCTGCAGATGACCCGACACAGTGTCAACACACCTCAAGCCCTCTTGGAAATGGTGCAATCGTGGAGACATCTGACAAGTTAATAGTGGTGCTGCAAAGGAGTCATAATGTTGGTGAATTTTCTGGGCATTTTGTTTTTCCAGGGGGGCACCCTGAGGTAATACATGTTGAATGGTTAATGATAGTTCTTCTTACTTTTCGATTACAAGACCCTGCTTTTCTTTTGCAGACAAATTTAAACTACCGTATTTATATGCTCTCATAGGTGTTTTATACTTTGCTTTGACAGCCTCAAGAAGTGGGCATAGAAACCCACAAATTCAGCAAAGACTCGAAAGATTCCGAGCTTGTCAATAAAAAGGTTTCCCAAGAGATGTTTGAAAGCATTATTCGTGAAGTTGTTGAGGAAATTGGAGTACCTACTACATCCCTGGTAAGTGAGGACCACTTTGTTGTTGGTGCTTCTTTTTGTTCATGGTTTTGAATTGTGGTTAGTTTGAATTGTCAAAGTATCTGGAATCATTTCTTCCAAATAGCTCTTCCTTATTCTTGTATTAGTTTGTCAATTGTGACCTTCAGTACCAATGTTGGATATGAGAATGTGTATTTCTCAGGTTTTAAATTTTCGATTTTAATTTAAACCCCATACCCCATATGAGAATTGTCAACTGTAATCTGAAACACACGAGAAATCCACATAACATAGACAATAGTGTCATTTTCCCAAAAAATCCCATCACAAATACATCTTGATATAGTCTAAAGACAACTTTGTTATTTCCAGATAGCTTTCATTCCGGTTTCTTGATTGAATTAATAGCTTTTTTGTCTGTTCAAGGAAACCAAATTTCGGGTCCTGTTTGCGTCCTTGATAATTGATTTCGTTGTCCAGTTATGATTATTATCCTTTGAGAAGTGTTTTGATATAGACTTCTTTTTTTGTCCTGCTTGCAGTCAGATCCTCTTTTTATTGGCATATCTCGCAGGGTTTTGAATGTTAGACCAGCTATATTTTTCTTCATTAAATGCAGTCTTGAATCAAAAGAAATTCATCAACTATATTCCAAGGCACAAGATGGCTATGAATCTACTCAACTTTATACAGTCTCAATGGTAGGTGTTTCCCTTCTTGTTTTTCTCCTTGGACCCTCTTTTCTTTTAAAAATGATAGAATTTGATTATTATTTTTTGCACAATTTCTGGTTTTAGTTGCTGTTATTAGAAATAACTTCTAGTCAAAGCCTCGCCAATGCGTTGGTGGCGGCACATTTTGTTGGTGTTTTCATTAATTAGTGCTCTTGCAGTGATGTTGAGCGAAACCTTCACGAATGACTGTAGCATAGCATGCATTAAGAATCCAGTGGTAAATTATGGCAGTGCTATAAGTTGACATGAAGAGGAAGAATAGCTAAAAATCAACATAAAGCACAACACAACACAAAAAGTTGACACGAATATACTAACATGTCAAAGCCTACATAACACAACTTGTTTACGTTTCAAAGATTGTACAAATATATAGTTAGCTTAAACAAGATTGTGATACATAAAAGTAACATGGACACATCATGAATACAAAAATTGTCAAGTCTTACCTCTTCCCCCATATCTTTCCTTCCTGCTTGTGGCATTGCTATGGAGTAAACCCTTTTTTTTTCTGTAAACGTTGAATATGCAAATTTTAAACATGTTACGCCCTTGTGTTGATCAGATTGAAGTAGAGCAGATGAAATCTAAAATGCCTGGCTGCCATCAAGGTGGGTTTGCACTCTATAAGATGATGGTTGAAGCCTCGAAGAACATCTGATGCTAGCTCACATATGCTACTCTCTTCAAGGTTTTGCCTTTTCTAGATATTTCCATCTTAAAGTTTGCTTTATATGATTTCAGAGCACGACGTTCAGTTCATAAAATTTGGTGTAACTAGAATATTTTAACTGCTTTTGACGAATTTTTATGCACGCAAAATTTTATGTTAGGGGTGAACTTATAAAATTTTAAGGGTAAAAATATATTATTAATAAAAAATATGAAGAAAATATTCAAAATATATAAGAATTTGAAATTTTCAAGGATGTCATCCTTGTTTACATTCTATGTTGTATAGATGCTTATTCAATAGCCACCCTGTCAGGGAAAACAAGATAATAACTATAATTCTATTAAGGGGGTTTTCTTCTTCTGGACTGATACATTTTTTGATTCCAACTTGCATGTAATTTGAAACAGTTGTCCAACATGCATGCTTATTCAGATATTATTATGTCTACCGGTTACATGTACGAGTAATTATGTTTATTTAATATAAAAATAAGCGAGTATATTTATTTATTTTTAATCATATTCTGCTCAACCTTAAAAATATATTTGTAACTTCAATTATTTTTTTTAATTTAATTCTTAAATTTTATATTTTATTTAATTCAGTCCATGACTACAACTCTTTGCATATTCTTTATTCTCGTCGATTCTTTTATTTCTCTGTATTCCTATTGATAAAATTTTCTCAAAATCTCATGTTTTAAAAAAGAGATAAATTATACGTTTAGTATCTAAACTATTACTTTTATTTTGTTTTGGTACTAAACTTTATATTTTTTTTAAATCATACTTAACGTTTAGTTTAAGTTTGATTTTGGTATTCCACTGTCATAAATTAAATAGTGATGTTGACATGTCATCATAAGATAATACCATAACATTATTGATAAAAACTAAAAAAAATGTCATGTTAGTAATTCTGTTAATTTTTTAACGGTAGGGTAATAAAATGAAACCTAAACTAAATGTTAGGTATAATTTTGGGAAAAAATAAAGTTTAGATATCAAAATAGAATAAAAGTAATAGTTTATGTACTAAACATGTAGTTTACCCTTTAAAAAATTAAACTATAAGTATATTATATAATTTTAGATTGTATTTGATTTGTTAAATAATACCACAAATTTTACTCACACATGCGAAAAAGAACATGAAACATATATATGTATATTGTATATGGTTAGAGAGAGAAGTTTAAATTGAAACCAATTAATACTATAATGTTATACATAATTATATTTAAATTAAACTCAAATAAACATATTCAATTTAATTTAAAATTTTCAGATAAAACTTGAATAATAAAATAGTAATAGTAAATTCTATTAACTTGAAATATTTTCTCTTCAGTTTGACTCAATTAAATACACACTCCTAATACAACAACAACAACAAAACCCTATTATCATATGTAATGGGATAAGGGGGAGGTATGGTATAGGTGCCCCCAACGCCAGGTTGAGAGCAGCTTCCGTGGAAGACCTTCGGCAGTCAAAAAATTAAAAATAAAGATAAAATGCAATGTATGTATAAATAAATAAATGAATAAATAAATACATAGTTGGACACTCTTAATATGCAGTCTTCGTATGCGCGTCTGTAATGAGAAGTAATCTCTGAAAATAAATCTCTGCTTAAAAATATCTGCATATAGATAGAAACGTAAGACCGACTAAATTTAAAAAGATGAAACATGAAGAGCATGATACACAGAAGTCAACGATAGCAAGCTACGAGAAAAGAATGAAGTCAAAAGGGTTAAAACCTAAATTAAGGCAACACTACTCCGCTACCCTAGTTCTAAGCCTTCATAAATTCCAATGACAAAAAAAAACGTATAAAAAGTAGAGATCATGTAAATTATTACAAAGACATTAAAAGAAGACAGAGATAATACACCCTATGGATGTGGCTCGCACTACTCGGCTACCCTGGTCTTAAGTCTCCATATTTTCCTATCAAAGGTCATGTCCTCGGTAAGGGATAAATCCTTCAAATCAGTTATCAAGCAGTCTTCCCACTTTCGCCTTGGTCGTCCTCTCCTTCTGGCACCGTCGACTATAATCGACTCTACCCTCCTGACCGTATCCGACGGTTGTCGCCTAAGGACATGCCCAAACCACCGTAGTCTTCCCTCCCTCAATTTTTCGGATACAGACACCACCCCCAAGGACTTCTAATAGAAGAGTTTGGTGTCATGTCCCACAGAGTCCTACCACATACCCATCGAAGCATTCTCATTTCTACGGCCTCCATCTTCCTTACGTGATCTTCTTGATTGCCCAACATTCTGATCCATACAGCAGCGCTGGTTTTATTGCCATTCTATAAAATTTTCCCTTAAGTTTTAGAGGCACTTTCTTGCCACATAAAACTCCAGTTGCAACCCTCCACTTTAGCCATCTCGCCTTTATACGGTGTGTAACGTTATCATCCACACCCCCATCTTTATGTATCATAGACCCTAGGTACTTGAAACAATCCTTTGAGGGGAGAACGTGTCCTTCTATGCATACTTCTACATTTTCATCATTTTGGTTCCCACTGAAGTTTGAACATAAATACTCTATCTTTTCAATATTGATCCTTAGACCTTTTTCTTCCAGAGCAGTCTTCCAGGTAGCCAGTCTATTATTTAGCTCAGTTTTTGTTTCAGCAACTAGGACAATGTCGTAAGCGAAAAACATACACCATGGAACACCATCAGGTGTCGCACAATAGATGTCGTCCATAATCAAGGCGAAGATGTAAGGGCTAAGAGCCGACCCTTGGTGGAGTCCGATTTTCACCGGGAATACCTCGGTGTCACCAACTGTAGTCCTGACGTATGTAGCAGATCTACAGTACATATCACGAATCGCCTGGATATAGCAGTTGGGATCCGTCTCATTTCTAAGGTATTCCATATAGTATCGCGGGGAACACTATCATACGCCTTCTCAAGGTCAATGAACGCCATGTGAAGATCTCTATTTTTTCCCCTATATTTCTCCATAAGTCGTCGAAGTAGATAAATCGCCTCCGTAGTAGACTTGCCTGGCATAAAGCCAAATTGGTTTTCCGAAACCCTAGTAACTTGTCTCAACCTAGCCTCTATCACCATTTCCCAAAGCTTCATAGTATGGCTGAGTAGTTTAATACCTCTGTAGTTGCCACAACGTTGGAGATCTCCTTTATTCTTATAGATTGGTATCACCGTAGACTCTCTCCACTCCTCTGGCATCTTGGCAGTCTCTAAAATAATATTAAAGATGTTGGTCAACCACTTAACTCCCTCTTCTCCTAGGGCCAACCACACAATGATTGGAATTTGATCTGGACCGACAGCTTTGTCCCTCCCCATCTTTCTAAGAGCCATTTTGACTTCCTCAAACCCAACCTACTTGTAGGGCAGTCATTGGCTGTAGTATGATGGTCGGCTGACCCATTAACGATACTATTTCTATAGGGAGAGGCACCGTCATTAAATAAACCAAAGAAGTAACTACCCCAAACACTCTTAATATCATGATCTTTCGCTAAAAGAACTACATTATTGTCCTTAATAAATCTGATGCTACCTAGATCCTTTTTTCTATTCTCCCTGGATTTTGCTAGCCTGAAGATGTCGTTTTGTTCGTCCTTAGTGTCAAATCTCTTGTACATTTCCTCGTATGCCTTATCCTTTGCTTTAGCCACCGTTTTCTTTGCTTCTCGCTTTTCCTCCTTTTATCTTTGTTGAGCTCTCGATCTTTCTTCGTCATCATTGCATTGTAGATACTCCTTGAAGCAAGTTTGCTTTGTCTTCACCTTAGTTTGGACTTCGTCGTTCCACCACCACGATTCTTTATGCTCATTGACCTTCTATGTCGACAACCCAAGGGTGTTTTTGCCCACCTCTCTGATGGAATTTGTCATATTTTTCCATAACATATCTGCATTATTTGAGTTTGGAGTTCCAAAACCTGTATTAGACAACCTTACTCCTAAAGTCATCAGCTGTCACTCCATGTAAGCTCTTCCAAAGGATCCTAGGTTTACCAATTTTAGCCCTCCTATGAGTGCTCCGCCCGTGGCGTACGCGGAACACCAAAACCAACAATCTGTGTTGTTGTTGAAAACATTTTGATATTTCGATATAACAAATTAAGTTAAATGAATTTTAAGATTTTCCAAAAAGATTTTCTAAGTATATTCGATATAATTATTCGAATATCAAAACATTACTCTAAATCTTTCAAAAGTAATTTTTAATCCTTACTCAAGTGTAAAATTAAGTTTTAATCTTAAAACAATTTCAAAATAATTTTACAAAGTATTTCGAACCGTTTCAAAACCAAAAATTCCAGATTGCTCAGAGGGAACCGATTCCCCCAAGGGGTACCGATTCCCCCTGAATGGTTTGGCTCCGAGAATTCCAGTATGCTCGGAGGGAACCGATTCCCCCCACTGTTCAATGGTCGAAATATTTGAATTTTACACCTAGGGAACCGATTCCCCATTAGGGGTACCGATTCCCCCCACTGTTTAACTGCCGAAATATTTAAATTTTACACTTAGGGATCCGATTCCCTATGAGGGGTACCTATTCCTCCACGCTCCAAACTGTTTTATTAATTGATTTCACACTAAAATAACTATATTATCTTCATTAATGATCCTCAACGTTCAGAAGTGATTCAAGGTGTATTTAAGCAAGCTTAGAAGACATTGATCAATAACAAGAAACATCAAGCAACTAGAATTAAGAGAGAATCAAAGAGAAAGCATCAAACCTCAAGTTTGAGCATTTCAAGCCTATTTTCATTCAATATTTATTTTGCTTTCAAGAACACTTATTGTGCTCAATTGTATTCATTCTTGAGTGTTCTTTTCTTTGTTCTAGATTGTGCAAACAATCTACCTTGTGAGGATTTCCTTGTAAGTTTGCAAATTTGTATTGTTCTCTTTGGGAGAGAGTGTTATCAAGAATTTGGGGTATAATTCTTGAGGGGTTTTAAGGTTACTCTTTGTCCTCAAAATAAAAATAAATTAGTGAATTTGTGGAAAATCCTTAGTGTGGATAGCTAAAGTAGTGGACGTAGACTTTGGTTGAGAAAGTCGAACCACTCTAAATCGTTGTGCAAATTTCTTTCAATTTTCTGCAAAAGCTTCCACCAAAATTTTAATTACCAATTTACCCCCATCTT